GGGAGGGCGGGGTTTTCATGATTGTTAAACAGGGAAGTGCGCTAGAAAGGGTTTGTATTCTTGAATTGTATAAAGCTGGATCTGGAAACGATTTTAGGAGAATTTATAAATATAACAAGGAAATGGTTGAAAAGTTAGTGACGAATAAAAAGGCAAGCAAAGTGCTAAAAATATAAAAATATATTTAGATAATAAGAAATAGAAACAAAATATACAAAAAAGTATAAAATGCGCATGTAAAGGTCTGAAGGGCAGCATCAGTGAGTAAAAGCGGTAAAGTCGTCTCTGTTTATAATATTGATGAGACGTGTTATAAGGAGGCTGAATCTATGTGATAGGAAGATAAGTAGGAATGGGGCATAACAAACAGTTGGAGAAATATATAGGAAGAAAAAAGATATGTAGCTAAGAAAAGTCTTAAAAAATACCAAAAGAAAGGAAGGGTGGATAATGTTTATATTAATGATAAATAAAGTAGAGGAGGAAGGGTGGATTCACTTAGGGTTAAATTAATGGTTCAATGGCCGGACAAGCTAAACCATATGTAAACTTTAAACATAGATAAAACACAGTTTAGATGGTTTGGAAACAGAATAAACAGAGTTTATTTGGGTTGGAAACAGAATAAACACGGTTTAGATGGTTTGGAAACAGAATAAACAGAGTTTATTTGGGTTGGAAACAGAATAAACACGGTTTAGATGGTTTGGAAACAGAATAAACAGAGTTTATTTGGGTTGGAAACAGAATAAACACGGATTATATGGTTTGGAAACAGATGAAACAGAGTTTGAATGATGTAAAATACAATACGAAACCAATGGTAATCCAAATGACAAGAAATTGGGTTTCAAAAGAGAGCAGATTGTTGAATTGGTTTAAGACTATACATGTCTGTATGATAAATGATTGAATGATTGAAGTATAGAAGTACAGCATTGAACTCGATATTCTATAGAATGACATGATATCTCTAGTCAAAGGAAATAAAAGTCTAGAAGGGAGAAGAGAAGGTTAGGAGGGTTCAATCTAGGGGAGATTGACATGCATGGGGGTATCAAACATGGAGCTTAAACAAGAGTATTGCTCTAGGGTTCAGATTGATTTAGTACTTTGTGAACACATTGAAGGGGGTAGAATTAGCCAAATATAAAAATGAAAAGGTAAATAAGAGCATTAAAAATAAAAATTGATACATATAAAAAAATCTTGTGAAGGAATTATTGGAAAAGAAAAGGAAGGAAGAAGAATGAATCCCTATATCTTTGCAACCCAATGTATGTAGACCTTAGATATTTCCAAGGATATTTCCACTTATAAATTCTGTTAAATCAAATAGTACAAGTTTGAAATATTTAAGATACACCATGAGGTTGCAAAGATATAGGGATAAGAAAGTTTGAGTTTGTGGCAAAGACTTAATTCCTTTTAAAGAAAGTGTTAATTCTGAACTGAAATAGGAAGAAGCTTGTAAAATAAGGTGGGAAAGGGAGAAAATCTTTGTGAATAATGAGAAAATAGATACTAATAATTGAACAAGATTACTTATTTTTGATGATAAGATTGATTTTTATTTTCTCAACCTGATCCTAAACAACTAATTAGTTTACTGTAGAATTTTGTTTACATCTTTTGTAGTCGTTGTTTATCAATTTAAAAAAAATTCTGAAACGTATCCACCCAAAAGTACGATTCTGAACGTCGACTTTGCGCTCAAACTCAGGATTTACAGATCTTTAAAAAGTTTCATATGTCTCAAATGAATCTTATAGAATTTGTTCACAACACTGCATACTCAACTACCTTACATAGCCGGTCTGTCCCTTTAAATGTTTCTTTTTGTGGATTTGTCTACATTAATTTATTTGATACAACCAAAGCAAACCAAATATATTATATATCTATAAATAATGTACTATAATTATATATATAAATAATTATATATCTACAAATAATAAACAATGTACTGGATTAACGCTGGAATATTTTGATGTGAAATCAAATAAGATGCAAGAAGTATGTGTTTTGAATCAGCCTGCAGTAAGTAAGATATCTATGATGTTACCTGATCTAAGTGCAAGAAGACCTAGAAGGAACAAGTGAAGTCCTTGTCTTGACATTTTATATTTGTTTAATCAAGCTCACTCTCAGCAAGTCAAGCTTTTTATATCACTTATCTTGATTTCTTGATTAGGACGAATAAACTTTCCTACGCTGCTGCAATAGCATTTGTTTATTTATTGTTTTTGACAGTGCATTCAATTATGCTGGTACGAACACACGATTTGATCGAATTTGATAAAATAATTGAATTTATTTCACGGAGTTTAGATTTTGTCTGCTATTTTATAAACCACACATTACTGTTTCTCCTGCGGCCGTATTCTGGTTAGCCCGATGTAACATCTTTTCACCGATAATCACCGAGCCATGTTTCCCACAAAAAACGTAATTTGTGGTGACCAGGCCCAACCTGAACCCAGTACACTGTCTGTAATTTATAGAACCAGAAAATGCAATTAACACTCGATCTGAAAATGGAATTAATGATTAAAAATACATGTAAATACACTTATCACTTTCTTTTACAACAAAACTTCATTTATACTTTTCTTAGTTTTGTTTGGATTAAAAATAACTAAAAATTTTAAAAATTGATTATTCAAATGTTCCTTTGAAAGTTCCGCCCACATATATTTGCTCTAGACTTAATTATGCAAAATGTATTTAAAAGTTAATGATTTTTCTAAATAAGGTTCAAAGTTTAGGAGCTCTTTAATTAGAATGTGACACCTTTTGATGCTTCAGTTATTAATTTTACAATTATGATAATTAATAACAATATTTTATTATAAAACTTTAACATATGGCACCATTAAGGCATACTATTGAAAGTGTCAATTTAAAAACCTACGCAAAATATAGTTGGGTAGTTTTTTTCTTACATCCAGATTTTATATTTTGAAACATAAAAGTTAAAAAAATTTTGCATATTTATTTTAATGAAGGAACTGAGTTAATGCCATAAATAGTGAAACCTTTCATATTTCAAACTTCTTTTAATTTTGATTTTTGAATTTTACTAGAAGAATATAGTATAGGAAGTGTAACTTCATGGAACGGTAAAACTGTAATATTAGGTTCACACTACTGGGCTCCTTCCCCCTCCGTGGTTTCTAGTCTACTGTTCCGCACAGTTCATCATACACACAGGCCGAACAAGCAACTCAACCAACAACATTGATTCCCGGATTTCTTTCACTTCTCTCCAGTTTCCTTATGTTTTTTTTTCAAAATTAATTACGATTAAATGCCTGTGTTCGTGTTCACTATTCAGTGAAGTAGTTCATGAATTATTTAACCCTGCTTTGCAAAGGTGAAAAGTGAAGAAATTCGCACAGTTCGAATTGTATTCTAACCCTGGTTTCGCGCAATAAAATTTAATTACTGTGCAATTAAACAATGTTTCGGCTTGAAAGAATGCTAAGAATTTTTTTCATTCATATTTTTTATTTCGTTTTATTGCTAGTTTTGGTGCAAAATTTAGTTTCTAGATTTTGTTTGGATAAATTTGGTTTAGATAAATTAGATATTTGGAAGTTGAACTAATTGTTCTTTAAACTCACGATATACAAGTTACATCCAAATACAGGAAATACTGTCATCCAGTCATCCTGTTCCATTCACTCATTTCTCATTCATTTATCCATCTATCAGCTAGCTATCCATCCTAACAACTTCAATTACGTATCCTTTTCACGAATATTTAATCTATTCATTAATTTATTCATCCTTAAACTTAGGTTGTAATGCATCCATGGGACTGTAAATTTCGGTTCATAATTACCGGGCCGACTTTTAATCAACTCGAGCAAGCTGTAAAATACAAATACTGTGCGCTAAATGAAAGGGTAAATGAATTTACCCTTTTCCATTGAAAGGATTTGAGTTTTTGCCACAAATGCCAATTTTATAATAGCTATACCTATATCTCAACAACCAGATGATGCATACCTTTCATATTTCAAACTTGTTGTTTTATCCACCAGAATTCATAGTTTGAAATATCTACGGTCTACGACATTTGGTTTTAAAGAAATTGGGATTTAAAAATCCGAGTTTGTGGCAAAAACTCAATTCCTTTATTTGATGGAGAAGGCTGTTTTCAACTAATTAATCAAGTTCGTCAGATCTTTCAGATTCTTCTTTCAATCTTTCTTAATCAAAAAACTAAAATTTCTCAACTAACTGATCTTATAATCAGTCATTTATTTTAATCCTGCTTTACCATTCTTTCTCTCGCTATTTTAGTTTCTAGTGAAGTATTTGTAGATCAGTTTTTTTGTAGTATTTAATGAAGACAGACAGGCTTTTAAGATTAAAAAACTGGAAGCTTTTAACTCGTAAAAATTCTAACAAGCAACGTCCAATGTTGAAATAGATTTAAACTTTAATTAAAATAATTAAGTTTCTTTTCCCTCCTAATCTTATTCAATGGTTGGAGTTTAGGTTCTGTTTTGAATATAATTAGGGTAAACCCTTGACACTTTTTATTCTAGGTTCATCGTTATGCATTGTAATTCAATCCTGGTATAATAAGATTTCCTTGCTCACTCATCCTTAATCCTCCACAGAATATTAATAAGTTATTCTTATTTCCATCTTTAAGACCCCCTCTCTAGTCTCCCACCCCTAGAAGTGAAAGGATGGAATGAATATATTCTATAAATGAAAGGGTGGATGAGTTGGGTCTTGCTAGCTATGATATATTGAATAACGAATCTATTAATATTCATATTTATGACGTGAAATTCTCAAAAGTTCCCATCATTATCCTAGCTAATTATGTTTAAGTAATTAGTAACTAATGACCTATAAGTTGGGTAATGAGATCTAGGCCGGTAATGAGCAGAATGATTTTATCTGAATCTCATGTAATTGAAAATATCCCTCAATTGTCGGGAGTGAGGGAGGGAGGAGGGAGGGATAGGGGAGGGATGGAGAAAGGATTGAGGAGGGACCAAGGAGGGATGGAGTAGGGATGGAGTAAGGATGGAGAAGGGATAGACGAAGGANTTCTTGAAATACCCTTCTTGAAATACCCTTCTTGAAATACCCTTCTTGAAATACCCTTCTTGAAATACCCTTCTTGAAATACCCTTCTTGAAATACCGTTCTTGAAATACTCTTCTTAAAATACCGTTCTTGAAATACCCTTCTTGAAATGGAGGGTTACTGGAATTAATTCCAACGACAGTCACTGCATTGGTTTTTATATTTTCTACTTTCAGAAATTTTATATAAAAAAATTACTTCTAAATCATGGAAATTTTGCACTTATAAATATATAAAAATTTAACTGAACTAAAGCGGTCTGTTTATGTATTCATCTAAATTATAGGAACATGGTGCGCTATATTTGAAACGTTGATTCCTTTCTTATTCTTTATCATTTATAACCTATATCGATATATACACTTATATGTTTACATATACTTCAAGCAGGAAATAGATTTTAGTAGGTGTGATTAAAAGATAGATAGATAGAAAGAAATATATATATATAGATAAAGGGGCGCATAAAGGAAGAGCCCAAGGGGTGGGGCTAACTAGACTAAAAAAAAAATATGGCGTGAATTCAGCCTTAAACAGTTTACTTTCTTCGCCCCTGGATATATAGATAGATAGATATATGTGGAGATGCACTTTAAACTGATATGGTTCCATTCCACTTATAATTTCCTGTGTTAACATTTAACAAGGCATTAATCAGGAGTATCAGTATTAATGGTATCTTTCCCACCCCACCTCACCCTTCACCAACCCACCCCACCATACTTTATCAATTCGGTCTCTTTAATCCTTGCTTCGACACAGAACTTAGAAGTATTAAAGGCGTAATTGTATAAAGGTCTTCATGTGGGCTGGAAGCGATGTCTATATTTTTTATTTACATATAAAGTAGTAATTTCTGTGGATGTTCATGCACCCCAGGCTGGACCGATTTGCTTCAAATTTCGATAAGGTAACTCGGTAGAACCAAGGGAATGTTTTTAGCCTGGTTTAAAAATTCCATGTTGAGTGGGTTAATTTTTACAGGGAAAACTCCATGCAAAGCTGGGTGTCCAAGCTAGTGAAATAATAACATCCAAAACATCAACCTGTTCCATGTTTCCTGGGAGTTACTACAACATCAGAGCTTGTAAGTTTTTATTAAAACATATTTTAATTTGTATAATCTTATTCTATCTGTTCTTGTCATTCATACCATTCATTTAATTTAAGTTCAGGGACTTTTTAAAAGAAAAAGTGGACATCAGACAAATCTGTAAGAATTATGTCCAAAACAGACGAATCTGTAAGAATTATGACCAACGCAGACGATTTTGTAAGAATTGTGTCCAAAACAGACGAATCTGTAAGAATTATGACCAAAACAGACGAATCTGTAAGAATTATGACCAAAACAGACAAATCTGTAAGAATTATGACCAAAACAGACGAATCTGTAAGAATTATGTCCAAAACAGACAAATCTGTAAGAATTATGACCAAAACAGACGAATCTGTAAGAATTCTGTCCAAAACAGACAAATCTCTAAGAATTATGACCAAAACAGACGAATCTGTAAGAATTATGACCAAAGCAGAAAAATCTGTAAGAATTAAGACCAAAACAGAAAAATTTATAAAAATTGTGTCCAAAACAGGCAAATCTGTAAGAATTATGTTCAAAACAGAAAAATCTAGCCTTGGTTAGGCCGGGGTGACCTCTACAATATATCGTTATTCTTTTGTCATATACGGTTCCCTGCTGCTTAACTTTTTTTGTTCTTCGCCAAATCTTAAAGACTATATTTAGGACCTCAAAGTCTAAATTTAATATTTATATCTTCACATTAAGATAATTTCATTATTAAAGTCTCAAACTTTGTGGGTAACCCTGTATCTTTATAAAAGATAGATCTTTTAAATATAATAAAGCTTTTTGGCGCAAGACATATGTGTATGTATTCGCTGTAGCTGGCCAAACGGTTGAACCAAATTGGCTGAAATTATATCAAAATTGGAAGCTCGGGTAAACAGTATAATAATAGTATACACCTGGGCAACGCCAGACACTTCAGCTAGTATTGAATAATTATAAATAGCATCTGTTCATTCTACTTTTTTAAAGTTAAACCGATGGATCAAATTAGCCTCCGATCCGAGGTTTTTAAATAAAATGCATTAACGAAATTTCATGTGACACTTAATTTAAGGAGTTGTATGTCCGTAGTTTATGTGTAATTAAGATTGGCTAAGATATCAATGTTTTTAAATTGGAAAATTGATTTTTAACAATTTTGGTTTCCGATTCTTATACAGGGGAGGATTTTTGTCAGAACTAACAAATTTTCAATCTGTAGACAAACTAGAAAATCTACGTACACTGATCAGATGTAGGTTTATATAAATTGTGTACTGTTGTGAATCAAACTTGCCCTTAAATCATATAATCCTTGAAACTACAGCAACAATGATTTC